CCATGTGACATCTCTCAGTGTTTTAATTAGTAAACAGTATGATGGAACAGAGAATGTGTTTGTTCATTTTTTAGTAGAGGCCTATTAGAAAAGGTTTTGATGGTGATGAAAGTTGGGATTAGCAGTTTTTTAGAAAGGGATCTGAGAGTTATACTACACATGAGTTGAAGATAGAATATTGAATTGGGCAGCTTGAAATGTGAAGCCTTTTCCTTTACATGACACTGGGAAAACAGCTGGAATATTTTTAACATTTTACTCTTTGGATAAGGAGTGCAGAGAAATTTTACGAAGTCCAGAGAAAAGCAATTAACATTATCAGACACCTGGAAAACAAGACTTACGAGAAAAGGTTGAAACAATTGCCTACAGAAGATTGAGGAAAGACATAACAACAGTTGCAAATACATTAGAGGCTACAGGATCTTCATGTTCCCTTAGGAAAGAACAGGAATTAACAGGATGAAAGCACAGCAAGGGTTAGATTAGGCATGAAGGAAAAAAAACATGTGAGGGGACTTACTGGAACAGAAATCTGATAGGGAGGTTGGAGAGGGACTCCATCAACAAAAATCTTTGAGAACAAGCTAAATAAGCATCTCAGAAAGATGTTTATGGTTGATCTTGTTCTGGTGAGAAGAGAAATGGAGTATCTCTTGTGGTCCAGGCATATTCTTTATGAATCTTTGTGTGTTTGCTGGAGATGGATTGTGTTGTGCAGTTTTTCCCTGTTTCATTCTATAATATATGAAAGGAGTACCATTGCTTATGGGTTTTTTTTGTATCTGCAAATATATATGATTACTATGATTAAATATTTTCGCTTGGCTTAGAGAAATAAGCACTCCTGTTCATTTATTTTGTGTGAGTGTGTTCTTCAGTAAGCTTTTGGCTTTTGCTGCAAAGGATGTCAGCAGTGAAGCACTCCCTAAAAGCTTTTCCTTTTTGATTGAATCCATCTGAATTCCACATAGTCATGCTGAATACTCTTGATTCAGCCAAAATGGGTTGAAAGCAGTCAGGGAATATATGGGGGGGGTGCTGCTGTGCAGCTGATTTTTACATTGCAGAGTCCTGTATGGTTTCTCACACACTACCCACATGACTTGGACTACAACTGGTTTGATCTCATTATATTCATGTGTGTGACTTGAACTTTTCTATAACTACACTGTTGGGAAGTTTAGATTGGACCAGAGCAAAGATTGTTTGTTGTTGATTATCTCACATGCTTTTCCTACTTAAGATAAAAGTCAATGTATCATTCTTGAATGTTCTGTTCTGTGAGATTCATAGTAGGAAAAACTAAAACCACTGTTGATCTTCCAAGCTTTGTTAATCAATCTACATCTGATTTCATGACAAATCCTGATGATCCTACTGGTCTTCTAGGAATGCATCATATTTCTAGCCTACTGTGAAGTCCCAGTAAATGTTCCCATCACCCCAGACCAAGTTTGTTTTTGCTTGATGATCTCTTCATTTGCTTGAGGTTTCCTTTCTTTCCTCCCTCTCATGACATATCATCCAAACATTTGTAATCTCCAGAGGAACTGCAAAAGACATTCCCATGAAATCCCAAATCTCTAAAAGCAGTACACAAGAAAAAAAGAAAGAATAAACTCACCATAAAACTAACCTGCCTTCTCACTGAATGGCTTGAGTAAACTTTTGTCACAGCCATAATAAAGTAAAAGTCTTTAAGGTCCAGGATTGCAATCAGACTCAGTCATAAACAGGAGTATTGCCTTTTTGACTGATTTCTCCTATAAAACCAAAGGGCTCATTAATCACATATGGAGTTTTAGTGGGGATGGGGGAGGGAGGGGAGAGAAAGAGGAAAAAAAGGTGGGCAAGCTGTGATAAGGTAACTTTAATGATTTGGGGAGGTTTATTGGCTATACATCTTTGGTCTATCTCAAGCCACACCAGTTCTCCCAGTGAGGCTTTTCTGTTCTAGAAATAATGGTGCCTCACATTACTATTACACAAGTAGAGGTCATTCAACAATGCTTCAATTCCATATTTCTTCAGCATATCCTGCAGAATAAAAAGCTTTTCGGTCTTCTGCAGAGATATGGTAAAAGGCTTTCACTTGAAAATACTTCATCATAGCAGTTTTGTTAACTGTGTCATTTCTTTAATTTGATGGAGGCAGCAAGTTGTAATGGATATGGATTTAGACCTAGGGACTCTTGTTCTGTTGGCTGTTACAGACATTGGTCATCAAACATCCTATGTATGTAAAATATTATAGGTCTTAGCTGTGATCTTGAGGGTATGTTTTGGGGTAAGAAATATTTCATGTTTGTGTCTTTGAGATAACTTGATGTAAGCAGGCTATGGAATAGATTTAGGTCTAAATGAGTGGTGTTATTCCCAGGCCTTTGGATGCATTGCTTATCTCCTGAATAAATGCCATGATTCAGTATGATCTTGGCTCTGTGCCCCAGAGAAGGCTGCAGTGAGAGATGTTCTGGCTTAAATATAGACATACAGACTGTGCACCAGGGTGAGGTTCATTTGCACATGTGGGTGTGTGTGGTACAAGCAACATCAGGACATGCATTGCTTTTTCCCTTATCTAGGCTAAAACAGCCTCTATTGTTTGCTGATGTAAATTTTCCCACGCAGGATGTACAGTGACTTGACTTGGCTGTTTATAAGTTTGCTGAAGCAATTTTTAGGCTATCCTCTTCTATGTTTTTATTTTCCAAAGGAGCTCATGAATGCAGCAAGGAACATTTTGCATCTATATCCACACATTCAATTGGTTTTTCAAAATCCTTTATGTACCCTTCAGTGAGTGTCTCCTTCCACTGAAACTTGTTCAATGCTATTGTGAAAAATGATTGTGCTGGTCCTTCTAGTGGGTCGTGTTTCCTGTATTTTGAGTTGGTTTATAGGTTTTGCTGTTTTGTTATTTAGATTGTGTTCCCTTTTATGAACAGTCTGTTCACTAGTTGGAGCATCAGCATCTAACCAATTGCAGGGGTTACCTCATGTGAGAGGTTCTGATATCGCAAGACCTTAAGCAAAACCAGAGAAATCAAATTTCTGCATCATATTTTGCAGGTTGACAAGGGAGGACAGGACCTTAGAACACAACCTTAAAGAATACTGAGAAATTCAAGAACTTTGTAAAACTGCTTGAAATCATCTTGCAAGTAAAATTAATCTATAAATAATGTAAATACTAAAATATCAGCTCTGTGTTCAAATAGATCCTTTAGAGACAACAGTAAGAGAATTGACTAATGTTGCAGTCATTACATTATGTGGAAGTTGGCCCACAGCCCAACCCAACAACGTTAAACACCATATTTCTTCCAGTAAAGTAATTTCTGATTGCAGTATTTATTTTCAGCTCAAATAGCTTTATGTGGGAGACTTGGACTAGCTCAGAAAGGGCTGTGTTTTCATAGTGTAATTGTGTCTTTTGATGCAGTTGGACATCAGAAATCAAATATGAATTTTGAACAAAATGCATAATATTTATAGTTTTGACTTTAAATATATTAGCCCAAGAACAACTTTGAGTTTTAGACATTCTCAATATGCTAAAATGCTTTCAAATCAAGGTTTGGATTGGACTTCTCTCTGCAGATAAATGAAGATGTTAGTGTTGCTAATTTTCTGTCTCTCTCACTTTCCTATGGGCTTCAACAAATTGACTTCCATGAACCTAATTGTATCCATTTATTTAGTACTTAATGTCTATTTGAAATGCCACTGATAAAGAATAAGCTAAAAGACAAATGAATGAATGAGTGAAACAATCTCACTCTCTGAAATCAGTAATAGGCACAGGTTTGCAATTCTCTGAGAGCTGCAGCACAAAACTGCACAATAGCTATGTACCACTCATGCTGTAATACAACAACACTGTGAACTCCTGTCTTGCATCATACAGAAAGATGCAGAAGAAAAGAATTACTTGATTTTCTTTCTACAGGAATGCAGGGCAGAGGATTTTATGGGGAGATGAGGAAAACTCCTAGGAAAACTCATGTCTCATTTATGAATGCATCAGAAGCAGAGTGTGTTCAGACTCAGCCCATGTTTGAGGTTTCAGCAAGAAACAGACATCCTTCAATTTGCTTCTGCATTCAAACTTCCCAAGATTATTTAGTTTATTCAAGTTCATTTTGAATTGGGGGTTAATACACAGTGTGTATTGCCTTGGAATAGAGCCCTCTAATCTGTTTACATGCCTCTGTGTACACAGTTGTGATGAGTAAATCACTGCAGTCGTTTTTTCTGTGTGAGGATGCAGTTTATCAGGCCCTTCTGAACCTACCAAATGATAGGATTGTTAGCAGAAGCCTGGCTAATCTGTTTTCTCCTGCAATAGCATGCCACAGCCACAAACCATGCTGGTGATAAGAGGAAAAGCCAAGCCATGTTGTCAGATTCTGCACCTTATTTACTCTAGGGTGAATACAGAGTAACTGTACAGAAAACAAGGCAATGTGTTTAGGTTTATGCTCTTCAGAATGGTGTATATTTAATCATAGCATCATGAGTTGTATTTTTGCTGTTGTTGTTGGATTGTGGAGTGGTAGGTTTTTTCCTGACATTCACTTTCTGCCTAGTAGGGAGTTGATATTTATAACCCATCCTCTTTGAGAACAACTTTTAAATATTTCAATACCAGGAGAGAATTTGTTTCCAGATTCACTTTCAGGCTGGAGTCAAGAAATTAAAGCAATGAGGGTTTAGAAAGAAAAGCAAAGAAGAGACAGAAGAAAACATGTAAGCTTCAAACTTGTTAAATGGTTGGATTTCTCACTAGGAAGCTCTCACTGTAAAACCTGTCTCTGCCCCAATTAGTCAGTGACACCAGGCAGAGCAATAGAGATGTCCACATGGAGGAAGGGAGAGCTGAAATAATGAGGAAGAGAATACTGGAAAAACAAATGTGAATAATGAGTTACAAATACTAAATGTCCTGTGTGCTTAGCTGGTTTTGGTGAAATTTCTCTTGTTCTCTTTCCAAGGGACCGAGCTCCCTTCATCTTCACATCAGAGATGGAGTATTTCATCACAGAAGGTGGAAAAAACCCACAGCGTTTCCAAGAGTTTGTGGAGCTTTGTTGTCGAGCTTATAACATAGTCAGGAAACACAGCCAGTTACTCTTGAACCTGCTGGAGATGGTAAGAAGCTTGAGGATGAAACCAAAAATCTATCTGCTCTGGTGCTCTCTTCCCTTTTACCACTTCTCTGCTGCCTCCAGTAGCACTGTGATTTGAAGAGGTATCACTGCACTGCTGGAAATGTTAGTGCTGCACTTCCCATGCAAAGAAACTTCCTGTGAAGAGAAACCATCCAGTTGCAGTGCTAATTTCTGAGAAAAGAATGGCTAAGCTGCTCAGTGGTTTTCCCTTCTTTAATGCATTATTTTTTACAAAATAGCAGAAAGCTGCAAAAGAAACTGGGTAAAAGTTTTGCATTCAGGAATTTCACTCAGCCCTTTTTCTGGGCCTTCAAGAATCCATTTACCATTTCTGTTCATGGTTACAAGACAAAGTACACTAAATATTTCACAGAGTGGCTGATTTGACAGTACTTAGCAGCACTGCAGCTACAATGATGCCATTAAAGTGGTTTTTTTCTACATTTCCAGAGTCCCTTTTTAGGATGACAAACACAGGAAAGAAAGAACACTACTCATATTGGCATAGGCTTAAAAATTCTTCTGTATAGGATTTTAAGACCTTTAGGAGTTTTGTCCTTAATTATTCTTACTGATTCAAGTGCTGTGGCAGATTCCATAACTGCTTTATGTCTCTATTTACTTGTGTGTGAATGGCTAATGATTTTCCCCTTCATGAGTAAAATGAGAATATTAAATTAACTAGTGTTTGCTAAGATGCTTTGCTAAGTTGTAATCCAAAACTTATGTCCAGGGTCTCATGTGAAACGTAGAGGACTCTGTGCATGAAAAGATCTTCATGACCTTATAAACAGAACTCCTGCTGAGGTTGGGGTACAGCCAGAAAGTTCCTCTATAAACAGTGCTTTATCATCTCTAACTTATGCAATGGAGAGGGAGGGAAAATGGCAGGAATTTCTCATCTTGCCTCTTCCATCTTGGCCATGGATTCTCCTGCAGTGACACAGCGAGTGATTTCCCACTATGGAGTGAGTGGGATTGCCCCAGATCTCTTAACCTTGCTGCTAAATAGTCACAGAGGTGCAACAAAGCTGCATTGCCATCATAAAGCATCATTTTGAGCTGGCAGCAGTGCAGAGTGCAGTTGTGGGAGATACTGTCCAAGTTAAAGAGCCTCTGGAAAACCCAGGAACCTTTCTCCCACCCACAGCAGTAATCCCTGCTTTGTGGAACAGGTTGCCTAAAACCACATGCTGCAAATACAGCTACATCCTCTGCCCATCTCCTTGTCCCCAGTGCAGTCCTTTTTTCTGCAAGCAGCAGAGATAATGATGTTAGATTACTCTGGGATAACAGAGAGAGCGTGTTAGGAAAATGTTCCCAGCAGGAGCCCTGAAATAACTAGCTGCCTCTGCCTGGATATAGCTCAGGATTGTCTATATTCAGGACATGCTGCATCTTTTATTTCTGCTGATCTCGTAGCAGAGGTAATAGTGCTGGGCTGAAAGTCAGCAGCCAGATATGTTTTAATATTTGTCATTCAGCTGCAGCTCAGTCAGTTGTGTTGCATTTCATAATTGAAAAATAACTGGCAGTGCACTCACACCCCAGTGATGAGCACCTCATAGCAGAAGGAATTAAGCAAACAACACAAGTTTGTGAACACCTTGTATTGGCCAGTGAGGTTTGAAGGGTCAGTCTGATTCTGTACTTGAATGAGGTGTTGGGCAGAGACTGTAAATACCAAAATATCTTAAGTTCCACAGGTCATTTCTAGATAAATAAATAGACTGTGAAGAAGCTCTGCTTTGAATTCATTTCCACAGAGAATATCAGGTGTTACCACAAAGAGACAAGATTAACTAGCTACTGCTTATTTGTATCAATAATGGCCCAAGATTTCTCTCACTGTCTGGAACACTGCATCATTAATCTTCACACTTTCTGTTTTCTGAGGTGCTGTTTATAAAACATGGTTAAAAAATTCAGACAAGAAGGCAATTTCTAAAACAGAGTATTTCACAGAGATAGTAAACTGTGCCCTGAATGGTCAGCAACAATTTGTGCTTTCTAGCAAACAAATGAACAAATGAGTTTTATGAGCAAGTTAGGGGTTTTGGCCCAGTTTGGGAATTAATGCTTTTTCCTGGTAGTGAGCATGTTTGTAAAGCTGTACTGACACTTGCTACTGGGAGTAAGAAATAATCCATGAAGTTTCCATCACTTTCAAAAGCAGAACCATCATGGGGAGACCCAAGAGTCTGCTGGCAGAGTTCAGCTGCATAAATGCCTGTAGTTCATCAGCTTTGCTCTCATTAAAGATGTGATGTGAGCTGTTATAAAGAGGGTGATCGCAGGACACAAAACACCTTCTGACTTGTTTAAAGAAATGCAAACTCCATTGCTGTTACAAAGAGTTTTCAGAGAGAAAATTATTAAAAGGGGCTTAGAGGTGCTACTAAAGAGCAAGTAATTGATCCACTTGCCTCCCCTGTGACAAGAAACAGGAGACAGTGTAAAGCAGGAGACAGCACCTAGACAGAGTAGATCTAAAACTCAAGAATCCTGTATTCCCATACAAGTCATTTCACCCTTCCAAACTCAGAAACACCATTTAGGAAAAGGGGACCAGGAAACACCCACCCCTGTTTTAGAGGTCTAAACAATGGAATTGCCAGCACTACTCCTTTTCCATGGAATGGTGGGCTGAGCATCGAACATCAGCTCTGAATCCAGGCCCAAGGAGTGTAGGCAGCTCCACTCAGTGAGTCAGATGACCAAGTGTGGTAGGTCAAGCCTTATGTGTAGCCAAACAGAGGTAGCAATGCAGCACTTGAACTTGGGCATCTAGTGACGTTTGAGTTGCCCTATGAGACGTGTAGTTGTTTTCCAAACAGTTGTTCCATCTCTGGTCTAATTAGCATCTAGTATCACTAGCCCAGTGGTGAGGCCTCCTCCATCAGGGGACTAGAAGCATGAAAAATATGCTGTATGGAGCCAAGGGATGAAGCAGTATAATAAGCCTCTAGGACCCCCTTGCAGCCAGCAGAGCTCTGTGTAGGTATTGCTCAGCTAAAGGCTTTTTTTTTTTTTGCCAGCTCCAGCAAATGGTTTAAACACCATTAACAATGCAGAGAGCCTAAAAATATTCCTGGTTTAGAGTTGCACTGTGGATTCATTCACATTATGTCTGTATCTGGTATTATTCCTTTTTCTAATGAAGGTCTTAATTTGCCTATGCAACAACTCTTTTTTTAATCAAAAGGGACAGGAGTTGTTACTCTCTTTGCAATAAATGGGTAGAATGAATATTGATAAATAGAACTGTGTCTCTTTCAGTGCATGAATATTGCTGTTACCCCTGCTGTCAACTCACTTAAATTCACCTCATTGAACTTTCTGCCTCTCTGTTCCTTGCTAGTCAAAACTCTGTGAGAACAGCAATCTCACTGTCCAGTGATAGTATAGATTGGGGCTGATAGGAGGCAAGATTCCCCTCGTAATGCTGAAAAGAAAATACACAAAATATTGAAACTTGGCTTAAAAATATCGAGCAGGTTTGAGGGAATAAAGAAAATGCACACCCCCATCTCTTTTCCCCTTGTGCTATTCATCTCTTAGCCAAACCTCGAAATAAAATCAGCGCTTCCTTTTTTCTTTGCTGTTACTTGAAAAACTCAGTGGGTCTTTCTGTGTGAGCTAGACATAAATATCAATGGAGAATGCACAGCAGTGGCTGCAAATTCAGATACATTTCCTTCTGAGCAATGTGAAGGGGTGATGTTTTTCTTCATTACAAAAAAAATCCTCAACTTGCTGTGATTGTGGAAAAAAATCAGTAGGTTTTGACGTGAGTAAAATCTTTGTTGTTGTTGTTGACATTTTACAATGCCTGGAGAGAGCTGTATGGGCAATTGGATATGTTCAGTTGTCTAACCTGCTCATGTAATTACTTGGCAAGGGGAATATTTCCATTCTTTGTCTTTTGAACCTGATTTGGCCAACTGGAACAGTTCTGTCCCTCATTGATGGAGAATGTTCTTGTCTCCAGAGGACAGTTCTCACTGCCCACCTCAGGGCTATGAATCAACATCTAGAGAAGCTTTTCTCCTCCACTGACTGTAAAGGGAGTGAATCTGTGATCCCTTTGCAGGAGGAGCCCAGAGCAGTGCTGGTGGAGTCAGGAGTTACAAATGAGAAGGTGATGTTGCACTAAATTGAATTAGAACTAAGACAACACTGTGAGCATAACAGAAATGTGGTTACTGTTGTTCAGGTGGCTGAATTTGGTCACCTTCCCTTTATCACCATTAGAAGGAAGATTAGCAATACACGCCTTGAGGTTATGCTATCGAAAGGGAAAATAACTAACAAAAATGGATCGTTGATTCTGCCCTATGCCTCTTTCAGTCCCTCAGTGTGAAGGTTTACAATGCAATATCTTCACTTTAGTGTTCTAGGCATTGCTCTAGCATCACAACCACTTTTCAGAGCAGCAGAACTTTGTTTTACAAGAGCTTTTGGTGTAAAACCTTTCTTTTGTACGTTAGCCCCACATCATTTAAATTTCTTCTGAATTGAACTGTAGACTAATGATCTAATGGTTTTTTACTTTCAGATGCTGCATGCAGGATTGCCTGAGCTAAACAGCATCCAGGATCTGAAGTATGTGTATGATAACCTCCGTCCTCAGGACTCAGATCTCCAGGCTACAAGCTACTTTACAAGGTAAAACCAGAATATAATTTAGAAACCTTATGCAAGTTAGGTCTGCAGGTGCATACTTGGGTCATAAGGATGACCTTTCTTTGAAAAGAAAGAGGAACTTCTCAAACAAAACTATTGTTCTATTACTTTACACACAGCAGAGCACTGAGTTCCTTCACTTTAACACTTGCTTTTTTCATATTCTTTCCCTCTTACCCCTTAGCAAGATTGTTATATTTTAAAATTTAATTACAGCTTTGCATTTACCAGCAACTCCTACCTTATCCTTTCCTTTAAAATTTTATATATTCCCAAATTACAGACTTATATTTCCACTTCAAATAGGAAACATGCAGTTTCTAATTAAATTGTAAAAGTCTTGATTCTGTCAAGTAGTTTGGGTGGTTGTGTCTGCTTTGCATGGGTAAAAAACCCAGTTCGTTTAGTTAGTGAAAAAGGGCTGGGAGATACATAACAAACAGGGAAATCTGAGTCTTCAGAGTGAAAATTGCCTTAGTGTCCTGCAAAGCTCAGAGCTAGTTCCCTTCTGGAGGTGGAAAGGATGAGTATTCTCTTCGGTTGGGTAAGTGATGGGTACTGTTAACATCACTACAGCCTTGCTTAGCTGGAAGACCAAGGGTGAAGACTTGGTTAAGGACAGAGCTCTTTCTTGGAGCTGGGCAAGGTGGTAGTGGGAGTTTTGAGAGTTAGGGTGAAGGAGGTGAAGGACTTCAGAGGGGGAATTCACCTGCAGTCTTCCTCAGCCAAAGCATGTGGAATGACAGTGGACATTAAAAAGAGATGTGACCCAACACTGGTTTGGAAGCATTCTGCTCTTGTGAGACCCCACCTGGAGTACTGCACACAGTTCTGGTGTCCCCAGCATCAGAAGGACATGGAACTGTTGGAGCAAGTCCAGAGGAGGCCATGAAGCTAATAAGAGGACTGGAGCAACCTCCCTGCAAGGACAGGCTGAAAAAGTTAGGGCTGTTCAGCCTGGAGAAGAGAAGGTTGTGTGGAGATTTCAGTAACAACCTGCCAGGATCCGAAGGGGCTACAGGGAAGCTGCAGAGGGACTCTGTTAGGAGCTGCAGTGACAGGACAGGGAGCAATGGGTATAAATTGAAAGAGGGATAATTTAGGTTACATATAAGGAAAAAGTTTTTTCCTGTGAGGGTGGTGAGACACTGGCACAGGTTGCCCAGGGAGGTTGTGGCTGCCCCAACCCTGACAGTCTTCACAGCCAGGTTGGCTAAAGCCTTGAGCAACCTGCTCTGGTGGGAGGTGTCCCTGCCCAGGGCAGGGGTTGGGACTAGGTGATCTGTCATTCCAACCCCTTAACATACTCTGATAATAGTTGGTCTGCTTTGTTGCCTGGTAGAGGTTTATATTAGGGTTAGGAAATGCTGTTCAGCTCAGACAGACTATAGGCAGGACTCAGAGCTCAGCATGTCCTTCTTCCCATTAGATTTCTTGTTAGGGCTGATGTTACAGAAACTAAGGCCTTCAAAGTGCAAATGCTACTCAATTCCTGCTCACCAACAAAACTAGCTTCATGGTGCAGATCTGTACAGGACTGTGGGCTCTGTTCTTACTTGAAATTATATTTTCTGCTAAAATGAGCTCAGTGAACTCCAGAGCTACTGTTCCCATTTCCTTCGAAATGCTGAGGTGCAGATCTGTTATTGTCCACAGAAATCATTACATCATGTAGGAAAGTCAGATATTGCTAGCCTGCATGGTTTGTTCATTAATATTCTTAGGATAGGTTTGTATTATATCTGCTCATTTGTAAGAAGAAAGTCCCTTTACATTAGCTCATGAATTTCTGTGGATCTCATTTCTCTTGGAGCTTTTTTTTACTTTATTCTAATTTATATTCATTTGAACATAATTTGTGTTAATTGAAAAAATGTATAAACATTTCTACATATTTAAACATGGGCAGAACATCAGGCTTCATGTCTGGTAGTATTTTAACTTCTGGTAATTGTATCAAGGCACTTTTCAAAACAAAAACTTTGGGATGGCCTGATAGATCCATGCAGAACTTGCTCCTCTGTATAAACATTTTCCAACCTGAATGTTCATATGTAGAGATTTTTGTGAGCTTTGTGTTCCATACATATCATCTTTATTAATTTCTTGTCCTTCAGAAAAACTCATCCTTATCTCCTTGTTACACAAAATATCCAGGTGAGAACAAACCCGTTAGTTACTGCTCATGGTCATTCTGTAGCTTATTTCTTATGCTGGTTTGGGTTGTGTGAAGAAAATTAACTCTACCACAGCCCAAACCTGCACATTCCTGAATCTATTTTTCAATATATCCTTAGAAAGACAAGGAAATTGGAAGTTCTGATTATTAGCACGACTTCTAGTAGCTCTCAAGTCTCTCACAATTTGTAGCTCCCTTTTTTCTCCATAATTGCATCCAAAAACACTTGATTGTTTTTAAAAAATTCTTTTCTAGACAAGGAGTGTGGTCACTGGAATGTTAAGCACTGCCAACAGAAAGTTATTTCTTGTTCTAAGTACAAGGTGGTTATTGTGATCTTTCAGATTCAATCATATAATATATCTGCTGAAAATCCCAATCTTCTGCTAGTGGAAATGGGAGAACAGTATTTCTCTGTATTTCTGCAGAAATAGGTTGCTTTTAGCAATTTTCTGAGCTTGGTTTCAGCAATAATAGTGACATTTTCTCTACTGCTGTTTTAAAACAACATGAAATGATGAATGATGTTACAAATATTCCTGGCCAGAATAGTGTTCATTTGTTCTTTGCCATCACCTTTTTAACCAGCAGAACAATGGGGTTTGGACTGTAATGTGCTGACCCTTTTCAGGATCATAAAACTTTCTGTGTTTTACTGAATTGCTTTAGTCTTGTTCTTGATTCAAGACATGTCCAGCAATCTGTGGTCTCATTTATGTACTGTATTCTTCTCCCATGGGGTCAGTTCTCTGTGAGGAGCTGATGAGCAGCAGTGTTAAGCCTCACAGCTTACAGCCTTCTGGAAGGTCACACCCTCAGATCGTGGATAAACAATGCACCAATTGAGAGTTAAACAAGAGTTTCTGTGTTCCCTTGTCAGTCCCGTGCACCTAGTGCCAAATGAAACATCCTTGTCTCTCCAGCATCTGCCCTGAACTCAGTTTGATCCTTGAAACTCAATTTGATCCTTTCCCCTCCCTCCTTTCCTCTTCCCCTGACAAAACAGTTTTACCAGAAACTGGAAACCCATCTTACCTCTGGATATAAATTTCCTCTATGTTTTTCTGCAGATGTCTTTAAATGCCAGCATGGTGTGGCACACTGCCTGACATTTTTAATGGGCCTGCAAAGGGTTGTATATCTCAAATTGGGTTTAAGAGCATAAAGTTAGCCTAATGCAGTGAATGGAGTTGATTTCAATTGATTGCAGTAGGCAATCCAACCCACTCATAGAAACCATGAATAAGAGATGTAGGGTGGATCTGACAATTACCAGCAAAGCATATTGCATATCTTCAGCAGCCTGAGTGAGGGAGTGCTGCTTGGGTCAGCTGGTGTCTCTACTTATTTATTAACAGAGTCATTTGCTTGGTGCCTGTTGTTGCCCAGGTCAAGCATATCCACTCCAAATCACAAATGCCAGTAGTTTTCCAACTGGACAATTCACAGTAACTCCTTTCAAAACCTGCCACTAATCTCAAACTGATCAGCCACCCTGTTTCTCAGGTGGATACAGATATTCCAGCAAGAAATTTCCCAAACAGCTGAAACACAATGAAAGTTTGGCAGGGACAAAACTACAGCACTAAACTTTCAGTGGCATTCAAGCAGTTTGTGAAGATTGTGGTATATGTTTCTCAAAGGCAGATTTCCTCCTTGAATTGATGTTATTTGAGGCATTCATATCATTGCACAAACCCACATGCCACCAGCTCAGGGCAGAAGAATGTTCTCTGACTTGGGAGAGATACATAGGAGAACTAGCAGGGAAACTAGACTGGCAGATGCACTTCAGGAAAGTACCTGATATGCTCAGCCCATGGGATCAGAGTTAGTGTGGAAGTAAATGTGGATTTTAAAGCCTAGCAAAATAAGTGGTAAAAAGAATATGATTGTTACCTGTGTGCTATCACAGTGGGAAATAAGGTATTAAACCAAAGGGTTTACCTCTGTTGTAAACAAAAAGGATACCGACTATCCATAAATAAATGTCACTGGAAATTAGAAAAGGTCTGTTCCTGAAAGCAGGAATATTCTGGCAAACTCTGTTCAGAGTTGTTGGGGGTGTAATACCCAACTTGGTTTAAACTGGAGCTTGGTAAATTCATGGGTGGAAATGCTGAATATTAATGAACCGGAATGTTTATTAACATCTGTGAATCCCATGAAAATAAATTTTGCTCATTATACTCTAAATTATTTTCAGGCCTAGATGGAAATGAGAACAGGATGGCATCAAGAATGAAAAAGAAAATTATTCTGAAGTTTGGAGTGAATTATTATTAATATATATACCAAGACTAAGATCTGAATAACTAGTCAGTAATAATCATAGAATCATAGAATTT